GTTAACTACAGAAGGCTTACAGAGAATATTGTATTATCTATGACTGTAAACATGTGAAAAGCTGAATAAAAAGAGAATTTCAAAAAAACAAAACAAAGAATGGACCAATACCTCTTTGGCCTCTACACTTTGAAAAGCAGAATCACCACTCACCACACACACACACACACACACACACAGACACACACACACACACCGGATTTAAATATATACATTATTTTTCTTTATTCTACTGTTCAGTGTTTAATTTTACATTCTGCCTTAGCTCGTTCAATTGTACATGTGTGTCATTTAAGATTGGGGAAGCGGCTTGTATCCACCTCTCTCCCTGCCGAGGAGCAGACCTTCTTACGGTCTTATTTAGATTTTTTATAATTGTTTAGTATTTATTAATTTTGTGTGTGTGTGTGTGTGTGTGTGTGTGTGTGTGTGTGTGTGTGTGTGTGTGTGTGTGTGTGTGTGTGCACACACACACACACACACACACACACACACACACACACACAAAATTAATAAATACTAAACAATTATAAAAAATNGATCCGTGTATTTATTATCCTCTCAAAATTGAAGTAGTCAAAACAAAAAAAGAGAATTTGTTGATATGTTTCTCAAAATCTCAACATTTTGACTTTTTCGCAAACATCTGACTTTTTCTCAAAATGCTGACTTTTTCTCAAAATTCAGACTTTTCTCAAAAATCTTACTTTTTTCTCAAATTCTGACTTTTTCTCAAAAATCTATAAAACTTTTTCTCCAAATCTCAAAATTATAACTTTTTCTCAAAATTATGACTTTCTCTCAAAATTATGACTTTCTCAAAATTATGATTTTTTAATTTTTATATTCACTCTACACCGGCTTGAGCTTGAATCACAGGATCCATGTTGTAACGGAGGTGATCTCTGGGGCCATAGATCTCTGCCTCCGTTACGGATTGTGAAGCTTCGTTGGTGGCAAAGTGTATGTAGTTTGTGCATCTGTCTGTGTTTTAGTTTGTCTGTCTCTGTTTGCTGGTTTTGTTTTGAAAAGTGTTCCCCCTTCCCCATGTCTGTTACTGCTGATTGTGTGCACCTGGTGCCCTGTGTTGTCTCCTCCCCCCTCACCTGTGTCTTGTTGTGCTGATTAGTTTGTGGGTATTTAGGCTCTGTTTCCCTGTTTGTGAGCTGGTAGTGTGTGTGAGATCCTGGTGGCTGCAGGCTGTGCTCAGGGAAACAACAGCAGGATTGAGGCTGTGTGTCATTGTGTTGATCATTTAATAAATGCCCACACCGGGTTATATTTGGGACGTTCTGCCGCTGCCTCCTTACTTGGTCGGGCCGCTCAATTGTCGGCTTCACACATGTATTTGTGATCCTCTCCAGAATGGAAGTAGTCATCACATACAGAGCATCAACTAGTTCCTGAACAGTGTCCTTCACATGCTGATATCCAACAGAGGGAGTTACACAGTCACTAGATGGAGGAATAGAAAGCAGTATTCAATGTTTACTTCAGATTAGCTCCACGTCAGAAATTATCATGCTTGTCATATGTCTCTCTCCATAGAGGCTGAATCATCATGTTAACCACATAGCTATCCATTCCCACATCCACTCTGCAGCTTTGGGGACAGAGCCTTCTCAGTGGCAGCTCCTAGGCTCTGGAATTCCCTCCCCCAAGATCTCCGTGACTCTGAGTCCCTCACAGTCTTTCAGTCCCGCCTCAAAACACATCTTTTCAACTCTGTCTACCCATAAGCCCCGCCCCCCCTCTCAATCAACTTCCTCTTGACTGCCTTTTTATTTTTTAATTTTAATTTTTTTAATTTTTTAATTTTACTATACTTACTTGTTTGCCTGTCCTTGTTTGTCTACCCTCCCTCATATTGTAATAAAATGCACTATTATTATTATTATATGCCTAAAACAGTCCTGATGCTCTTCTAGGTAATCACACATCCTGTCATGTACACAGCTACAGTTGGGATACCTTTGTTAGCATGTTATCACCAACCCCCCCCAGGTGGTGATCCTCCAGACGTTTGCCCGGCGCTGGCTGGCCCTGCAGGAGGTGCAGCGTCTGAGGAGGGACCGGGACCGGAGGCTGGTCTGGCTGGAGCTGCAGGAGAGGAAGAGGATGGAGGAGAAGGAGGAGCAGCTGAAGGACCGGAGGAGGCGCTGGGTCAACCCGCAGAGGAGGGAGGACTTCAACCTGCTCTACCACGCTCTGGAGAGTAGGAGCAGCCAGATTGAATCATTCAAAACGCTTTACCATCTGTAGTGGCATGATAGTATGTTCAAAGGCCACTTCGAATATTGACTCGCGTAAACTTTAAGAAATCCAAATACCTAACGCAGCAGCGTGCACACGGCGGCGTGCGTTAAAGCTTTCCGGCGGGCGTGTCTGAAGCGCGACCAATCACATGAATCTCCCGCCCCAGACACGCAGTTTGATTGGCTAGAGCTTGTACTGGCATATGATTTGATTGGCTGACGCCCTTATTCCACCTAGCTTAGCACTTTTTACTCTTGTTTCTTATTCCTCTACTACTTGCTCGTAAAGCGCTTTGAGCAGCAGGAAAAACGCTTTATAATTCACATGTAATATTATTATTAAATAAGATAAACAAACAAATCCAACAGGCGTACGGATGTGTGCGGTCAAAAACCTTTCCCGACTTCCCCTCTAGACTTCCTGCTGTGTCACGCCGGCAGCGTTATTTATACTCGAGAATGCTCATTAGATTCTGCTTGCTATAAAAAATAAAAAACATAAAACTGGAGCAGTCCATAAGCAAAACAAAATGTTACACAAACGGTATAGTTATAATTCAGTTATTCAGTTCATTTGGTTAAAAGAATATGCAATTTGCTCACCTAAACATAGATAATTCTCTCTCTCTCGCTCTGACACCATCACACATCATTAAGTGCACAACTCCTACAATGCAACATACAATTAACTTCAGATGTAAATATAAAGTAGATAGGAATCAGTTACACAATAGTGCGAGTAAAAGGCAGAATAAGTAATATTATTAATAATAAAGCTTTATTTGTAGAGCGCTTTCCATACGCTCACATGCAGCATGTGTATATAATACATATGTGATTACTAGAAGGTGAAAAATGGAAGTATTATCTCACACACACACACTGCAGGACCTGCTGACACTCAAACACGAAGTCAACACACACACACACACACACACACACACACACTCANCAAACTACATACACTTCGCCACCAACGAAGCTTCACAATCCATAACGGAGGCAGAGATCTATGGCCCCAGAGATCACCTCCGTTACAACATGGATCCTGTGATTCAAGCTCAAGCCGGTGTAGAGTGATTATAAAAATAAAAAAATCATAATTTTGAGAAAAGTCTGAATTTTGAGAAAAAGTCAGATGTTTGGGAATAAGTCAAAATGTTGAGATTTTGAGAAACATATCAACAAATTCTCTTTTTTTGTTTTGACTACTTCAATTTTGAGAGGATAATAAATACACGGATCCTGATATTGAAGCTCGAGCCGGTGACCAGTGATATTGTTCTAACAGTTGTACTGTAGTAAAACGTATTGCAGTAAAATGTGCACATTTTTACTTAAACTTCCTATGTTTATATAAGTAGTTTAATCTTTTTTTAATTGATTTGTACTTTCATTGAACTTTATAATTTACTACAATTAGCGTGTTAATTATTGACTTATTGCTGTTTTGTGAGGTCACATGACCCTTGACCTTTCCTCCAGTGTCACAATCAGGACGAATGTTGGACTAGTATGCCAGTTATCATTTCTACATTAACCGGAATAAAAAAAGACCAGAAATATTTAATAAAAACACATCTTAGTCACTCACAGCTCTCAGCCTCTCTTCGTGGTACTGGTCAGCTGTGATGTAGTTGCCGGGGGCGACCAGCTTGTCGTCCATGCAGGAGACGTAGCAGCCGATCCCCGTCATCTGGGTGGAGGCGTCGAGCGGACACTGCTGCGCCTCAGACTGCAGCTCCACTGTCTGAGGGGGAACAGACAAGGAGATGGATGAATTCAATCATTGATTTCTTAAAAATATGTTTTGCCAATCATTGCAGAGAATAGATAGTGGAAAGTGAGGGACGGCATGCAGCAAAGGTCCGCAGGTCGGCAGTATGGAGTCAGACTTAGTGCATGAACTCTCTCCCCGGTAACATTCAAAATGCCAACACTCCCACAACCTTCAAACAGCCCTCAAAACTGTTCTCTCTCACCTCTCATCTACTCTAAGAACAGACTTTATTAGTCCCTCACGGAGACATTGATTTCTCCACTCTGCTGTACTTACACACATTACACACACAGGGAGAATAAACACATTATAATCTGGTACCATGAGGATATACACAAACACAACTACATGCAGATAGCAGAGGTGGCAGAGCAGGGAGCAGTTTCGAGGTTAGTAGCCTTGCTCAAGGGCACCTCAGGAACTGGCTCCAGCTAGCAGCTCACACTCTGTATTTCTTTGCTTCAATGGTTCGTGAACTATGAATTATTATTATTATTATGAAGCCATTTAGAAAAAAGGAATATAATTATTTATTCATATTTATTTTACAAACACAACACGGGTCAAAAAGTCATCCATCCAAATGTATGTGGAAGAGTCTTGCAAAAAAGAAAAAAGGAATATGGAATTAAACATGAGAAGTTAAAGTAAGAGCAGGTTCAGGCTTTAGCCATATACGCTGCCTTTCATACATTCTTTAAGTTCAGTGAGCCTTTCTAAAATATACAGTAAAGAGACAAACCCACCAGCATTATAGGATATACTATATGACCTGATGCAGGCGCATGTATAGGCTATGTTCTCTATGAGAGCCCCCCCCAGAAACATGCCATTTCTGAACGTTACAGTAAATATTCTGTTTTTTGTGTTTCTTTTGAATGACTGAATCAAAGATATGAGGATAAGGATAGAGGGAGTCGTGTGTTGTACAGATCGTAAAGACCTTTGAGCCAAATTCTTGTTTTTGGGCTGTATAAATAAAATTGACTTGAAACAGTTGCTGATTTAGAGTACTGGCAACTTTTTATTCCAATTCAACACTGGGTAAGAGTGCACATTCCCCTTTTATGTGTGCTCTGCCAGAGAGTTGCCTGAAAAAAAGGAAGGAAAATAAATCCAGAAAACCCTGTTACGACCTTCGATAGTTTATGGTTTGTTGTAAAAGAGCGGGGAGTAAAGAAAGGGTGCAGGATAATGAGGCTAACAGACCGACACCCTGTGAAGTGTAAACATCTTTACTGACACACACACACACACACACACACACACACACACACACACACACACACACACACACACACACACACACACACACACACCTCATTACTGCAGCACCTTGTCTTCATGTATGTGCATCTGTAACGATCCCACCACCATCATTACTGTGTGTGTGTGTGCGTGTGCGTGTGTGTGTGTGCAGGAGAGTGAGTCATACACAGTAACCAAAGGAACTCCGCCCCCCTCCTCTTTATCAAATCTTTCCTGTCTGGGGACATTTCACACTTTTATGGGATTTCACGCCATAACTCAGTGACCTCACGCATTCAAAATAAAACCTTCCATTGGTTTCATTTATGCTGGGACACTAGAGACATGTCCACACCCCTTTTTGAAATGGACAATTTAATCCCAACAGAATAATTTGTTAAAAATGTTCTGAAAAATAGTGCACACAACTTAAAAAAAAACAAAGTAGAACACACTTCTATATCGTATAAGGCTTCGCTGTGTGCTGTACCTGTGTGCTGTACCTGTGTGTTGTACCTGTGTGCTGTACCTGTGTGTTGTACCTGTGTGTTGTACCTGTGTGTTGTACCTGTGTGTTGTACCTGTGTGTTGTACCTGTGTGTGTGTGTGTGCAGGAGAGTGAGTCATACACAGTAACCAAAGGAACTCCGCCCCCCTCCTCTTTNATGTCCACACCCCTTTTTGAAATGGACAATTTAATCCCTACAGAATAATTTGTTAAAAATGTTCTGAAAAATAGTGCACACAACTTTTAAAAAAAACAAAGTAGAACACACTTCTATATCGTATAAGGCTTCGTCCTCTAAGGCTATCGCTATTGGGTAATCCGACTGCACGTGTGCAGCACTGACAGACTTAATCCACGCCCACCTATGACGTGGGCCCCACCTTCGGGCTCACTTCCGTATAAATAGGAAGTAGGCCCTACAATCTACTCCCACTTTTCTTCAGCACTCCGTTGCAGAAGCACTGTCAGTCACAAAGCTCAGGTGTGCTGTACCTGTGTGCTGTACCTGTGTGCTGTACCTGTGTGTTGTACCTGTGTGTTGTACCTGTGTGCTGTACCTGTGTGTTGTACCTGTGTGTTGTACCTGTGTGTTGTACCTGTGTGTTGTACCTGTGTGTTGTACCTGTGTGCTGTACCTGTGTGCTGTACCTGTGTGTTGTACCTGTGTGTTGTACCTGTGTGTTGTACCTGTGTGTTGTACCTGTGTGTTGCGGCTGAAGAGCACCACCCCTCTGTCGGCTCTCCTCTTGGGGAGGGTCTGCATGGCGGCATGGTGGTACTGCGCCCCCGTCAGCCGGTGTTTGAACCCGCCCAGGAAGGCCTTCTGCTGGGGAGGACGCTCGATCTCCACCACCACCTCCCGGAACATGTTCTCCTCTGGAAGTCACGAGAGAGATAGAGCACACTAAAGCCTTCATATTAAACGCGGCGGACGCAGCGGCCCCTCGCTCTCCCGATTCTTCAGTGTTTTTAATGTTTCGTCGATATGTTCGTCACGTCTGTTGAGTTCCCTTCAACTACCCCGGACCAACAGCACAGTCAGGAGAAGACAGTACGATGTTGAAGTGACTGTTAAGTTGTATATTTTAGCTGTTGTGCTTTTATTTTTTTCTTAATGTGTATATATATGTATATATAGGTATATACATATTTGCATGCATATTTTTATATATCTTTGTTTTTGTATTCGGGATTGTGGGAAACGGTATTTTGATCTCTGTCTGCACACACAACTGAAAGATTGACAATTGACTTTGAACCTTATTTCTAAAATAATAACTACGCTGTTCTCAAACCCCTCAGACAAACACTCAGTGTGTTTTAATCACAGAGAGGGAGGTGTTCACCTGTTTGCACTCTGACGGTGATGACGTCCGGCATGTTGTCCTGCTCGGGGGGGCGGAGGGGGCGCAGAGGGTGTGAGTCGGGGTCGATGGAGCTCATCTCCATCCGGGTGGAGCCGTTGGGCCGGACGCCGAGCTCCATCAGGCTCTGCTGCTCGTCCACCGCTCTGCCTGGAAACAACAGGCAGAACGCACACATTGACTACTACATGCAGAAACTGCAAAATGTCTAACAAAAGAAGTGTAAGTAAGCGAGAAAAGACCATTAGCTTTTATTTATTTTTCAGAATAAATTGTAATATTAAAACAAAATGACAACTCAATTCCTCTCCCCGTGTTTATGTGTGCACTGTTAGACACCAGATTAAAATCCTTGTACTGTAGAACTACTTCACAATAAACCGGTTTCTTTTTTGTGCCTAATCATTTCTATCAGACATTTTCTTCTAACATCAGATCCACATCAGAATCTGGTTAGTTTCTGTTTACCAAACGTCTCTCTGAAAGGAACCAGTCCTTTCCCCCAAATAAAAAACTAAACATCGCTGAGCGTTTATCTGAAGAACAGCAGACGTACCGTCCAGAAAGATGTGCAGCACGTCAGCAGGAACTCGGAGCTCGTTGGCGAGGTGGAGCTTCAGCTGGGCGATGCTGAGGCCGATGGCGAACGCCACCGTCATCACATGACCCTCCGGCACCAGCACCACCTTCACTGATCGCACACACACACACACACACACACACACACACACACACACACACACACACACACACACACACAATGATATTCATATAGATATATATTATATGACAGCTATAGCTTAAGTTATATCCTTATCCGTGTACGATGTGAGGGTCTAAGGACAGAGGGTCTAAGGACAGAGGGTCTAAGGACAGAGGGTGTCATATTGTCATACTGATATTCTGTACAAACTGTGAAATCAGCTGAGACCAATGTAACATTTGTGATATTGGGCTGTATAGATAAACATTGATTGATTGATAGGATAGTATTTTGAGGTTGGTGTTAAAAAAAAGTATTAAAAAAAAGAAAATTTAAAGAGAAAGCAAAACATGTTCAAAATAAATAATGAAATGAAATGAAATGAAAATTGACAAAGATAAAACATATAAGTAGAAACAAAACAGTAGAAACCTAAAAATAACATTTAACTAAAAAATACAAACTTAACTCACTATCATCACTTATATCGTTTATCATACATTGATACGAACAGATCAAACAGATAATTCCTTATAAAGCGTTTTGTCCTTTTGATGGATTTTATAATCACTGAGCTATTCATTCCACACCATGAGATCGTGGGGCGTTATTTAAAGCTACTTCTTTGTGTCTGCTTATGGCACTTGATACTGATCCTCATGTTGTGTGATGATGATCCCTGAGGCAGGTTACCTGGAAACAGCACACCTCGGGTCCTTCACTGCAGACACTTCACACACACACACACATCCTGCTGCTTTTGTCTTTGCAAAACCAAGAATACATGAATATGATCTGCATTCCTTTATCAGGGTGTGTTTGCATCGTGCCTCTGCATTTTATCACTCTGAACATTTCTACAACTGAATCAAAAAGGATATTGAATGAACTGTGTCCAATGGATTTTAGGAAGCATGTCACATGTCAACAGATCAGTGTCAGCGAGGCAAAATCAGATAAACTATAAGTAAATTGAAATGAGGAAGTGAATCCCATCAGGCAGAATCAAAAGCTATGGGTTAATATACAAGTTTGTTACAGAGACGTAAACATTCTGTGCTTTTGTCCCTGCTTGAACTGAGTTTTTACATAATAGCTTTGTTTGTTTTGCTATCAAAGTAGTTTATTTACGTTTTATTATTGTCTTCACGTATACTAAACATAAGAGACTACTTTACTATTATTGTATATTAACATAATATACAATATAATCAGCAAAAGTTTAACAGACTGATGAGGGTTGCCTGATGAAATTAATAACGGTACAAGAAAGTACATTCAAAAAGTAACATTCATTTTGACTGTTTCTGTTTTCTGTGGTTACTGGTTCATGAATCTAGATAGATAGATACTTTGTTATTGTCTATGGATCAGTTACCTGTCGCCGTGGAGTTTCCAACATGTTCTGTTCTCTGAGGCTCTCCGAGCTGCTCGGCATCATGGGACAGATCCGCCTGAGTTTCAGCTTCCTCTACAGTCTCCAGCACATCTGTACAGTCAGCAAGGTCCAGATTATCACATTGAAATTGCAAATGAATGTGACACATGTCAATAACTAGATTATTTTTTAATGCACGAGTAGTGTCCTTTCATTTTCAATCAAATGCTATAAGTTTATGTTAAAAAAAACTATTATGGACAGATACTCAAATGCTGATATCACCCTGAAGTCAGCCATTGTGTGTAATATTTGTTACTGAGAAATCATCCATATTTCCAACTGTCAGCCACTGAATCTGAAATGTGTTCCTGTTGAATTATTGATATCAGATGCAGATTTCTGAAGTGGTTTTTCTCACCTGTTGCCACTGAGTTTCCAACTTCTATTGTGTTAACAGGCCCTATAAGACCGTCCTGCAGATCATATTCAGCTTCTTCTGCGGCCTCCAGCACATCTGCACAGTCCAGAGAGGGACAAATTAATGTCTATGAAAATTATACTTTTCAAACATCACAATTAAAGAATGCTTTAACACATCCTTAAAGACATCAAGACCTGTAGTCTATCTAAACTCACCTGTAGTCTATCTAAACTCATCTATAGTCTATCTAAGCTCACCCAGGGTTTCCCACACATAGACTATACTTGGGCGGGCCGCCCAGGTATATTAACAGCCGCCCAAGTATATTTACCCATTTAGGTTTTTTTTAATTAATTTTTTAATTAATTTTTTTTTTTTTTTCGTCCGCGACCACGACGCTATCTGCGATCAATGAACTTGTGGACAATGATCCCTCACTCTACGCCTCCTGCACCCAGCCCCGGACTGGCCATCGGGAGGACCGGGGAGTTTCCCGATGGCCTGGCCTGTTAAGTGCCCGGCTGGCCTGAGGATTTTTTGAATGACTGGCTGTCTACATGACATGGCCACTGTCATACAGATCATAAATCAAAGCCCTTGATTGGTCTCTGTGTGTCATTCAAGCTCGGGATAACCTCAGCTCAGGTGAGGTAAAGGATTCTCTGAGTGTTTAGTATAACTTAGTCTAAGTTCTCAGTGGGTCTCAAACGGGTTGGTCACCATTTATGTAAACACATATTTCCATTTGAGGGTGTCAGTGTTTTTTCCTATTGGAAATGGTATGTTATTGGTTATGGCCATGATTTTATGATTATTGAAATGTATACAGTTCTGTTTCATAGGTGTTCCCATAGATCTGGTCTCTTTATTTTCCCCTCAAAATGCACCAGATTGATGCATTTAACTCCAAAATATAAAAACAAATCTTACCGGGGGAGCATGCCCCCGTACCCACCCTAGAGGATCTAAGGCTGAGGTCCACCTCCACTTAAAATCACATGGACAGGTTCCTAAATACATTTCCATTTTTTTTTAAATAGTAACCCATATCCATATGTTTATGTGTGGGTAGTAGATTTAAACTATAGGGCTATCACTATGGGCCCTGCCTGTACTTGTTCGCTCTGCCATCGCATGAAGGGTCTGCTAACAAACGACCAACAGAAAGGTTAATGTTATACATTGTTGCACGTCACAAAGGCACGTCACCTCACACAACCCCCCCCTACCACCAACCCCCAAGTATATTTCAGATCTGTGGGAAACACTGTCACCTGTAGTCTGTCTAAACTAACCTGTAGTGAAACTAAACTCACCTCGAGTCTATCTAAACCTAAATTCACCTGAAGTCTAATAAACTCATCTGTAGTGTATCTAAACCAACAGGACTCACCTGTAGTCTATTTTAAATTTTAGATAATTAGATGTAGTGAAACTAAACTCACCTGTAGTCTATCCAAACTCACCTGAAGTCTATCTAAAATCACCTGTAGTCTATCTAAACTCACCTGTAGTCTATTTGTAGTCTAATTAAACTCACCTGGGGTCGTCCTGTCTTCCTGCTCCTCCTCTCCTCTCCTCCCCGGCTCTCTGTCGTCCTCTGCCGGCTGCTCTACAGTATTTCCTCCTGTTTCAACATTTGTGTCCGTGTCTTCCTCCTCTTCTTCATATTCTTTCACCTCCTGCTCTTCATTTTCTCTCCTCTCCGACATAACAGCTTTAGCTAACCGACCGGCTAATGCTAGGTTAGCTTGTTAGCTTTCTCACTTCAAGTCAACTAAAGTCAACAAAACGAGCTGTAAATCCTCCAAAACGCAGAGCCAGTGTTAACTTTCGGTGACACCGTTTAGAAATCACTGTCCACTGTCACTCGTTTAAACGCCTTCTTGTTTTATTCTACTTTTTAAAATGAGTTTTTGAGTTAGCCAAGCGGAGCTAACGCCGTCTTTCTAATGTTAGCTTGGTTCCCAGGCAACGCCAGAGTTTACACGTTTCCATAGCAACAATAAAACGCCACTGTCCGTTTACATTTTAGCTTTTTGTTTTTAGTAGATTTTATTCAAGGATGATGATTTGATTAAAATATCTGATAGTAAGAAGACAAATAATACAATAATATAAATGTGATTCATCTGAACGTTTCTGTTTAGTCTTAAATAATAATACGATAATAACCATATTAAGCTGCATTCAATGACTTCAGTCAGAAACTCTTTGACTACTTGCACCTTACATCATAGATATGCTCAGAGTGGGAACAGAAAACTGCTTTTACTGTAAATAATGTAACTTTAAATGTGTTTAACCTGTATAATAACACAAGGCTTTCTTATATTGTTCAACTATTGCACTAGTATCCTACATATTTATTGCAATATATTGTAGTCATTTGTCTTACGTCTTGTTGTGATTGTTATTTGTACCAAATGTTTGCAATTGTATTCTTTTATGAACTCTACTGCACTATACTGTAGATATCAGACAATACAACCTTTCTTATCTTATCTATTTATGTCCAAATGAATGCCAAAGATAACATAGTATGATAACAAATGTACAATATCTTGGCCTCACAAAATAAATCTTTATTTAATTACATTAAGTATGTTTGTTTAGTAATTCATGAAGTAGTTAATGACTGATAAGAGTATCATATGCTGTGTCTGGGATCGTTATAATATTTCACAATGGACATTTGGCACATTTAAACCCTTGTATCTCTTTTTTCTCAAGGACTTGAATTACAACATGTACTTTCCGTGAGACACCTGGGGGGTTAAACTGGATTTTTTAATAATTTGCATGTTGGTGCAAGATTTTAGCAGGTTAAGAAGGATAAATGTATTCTGAAATGAAAGAAAAAACACTCCAAACTATACAATTATTCACTGTTAGGCCACCAAAGCCAGTCAAAATCTTGAATTTAGTCATCTTGCAGTAGCAAAACTAGTAGTGGCAGATCATTAGCAGAAGTATTAAGTCAAGTAACAATCAAACTACATGCAATTATACCAGTAGAATGCGTGAAACAAGCATAATTAGTAGGCATACCATTGCAAGTATTGGAAGCAGTTAGTAGTATTTAGTATTTATGGATACAGAGACTCGTGCCCATTATCTTTTAACAACTTCTAATGCATGCTCAAAGAGTGAGGATGAGCAGCGGTCTTATTTTAGTGTTTTTATTTACAGCTTGCTCTCCCCACAGGGACAGTATGGGAGCTTTATGATGAGCTGCAGTGCTGCTATTTCAGTCTGAGAACCAGAGGAGGCGACATGGTGGCCCCTGCAAAGCTGCTCTAATCTGCAGCCGGACCCATGATGGCTCCCCAGAGGTCACAGAGCCTGGGGCCCCCGGTGTAAAACACACAGGTACTCATCCATCCAGGGGGGGGTCTGGTTATCCTGTTAGCACTCTCTCAGGATCCGTAACGCACACACTGGGACATGAGCAGCAGAAACATCCGGACAGTATTTTGATCCGGGATCTGGGAGGGAATGTGGTGCAACGTGTTACCAAACAACACGGAAATATTATCACGTAGGTGCAAAGCTATCAGAAAACAGCGTCAACAAGGATCCTAATAACATACTATTGAACGTACAGGGTGGATATGATAGGATAAATATGATGATTGGTTTGAAAATAACATTGTTTGATATTTAGAAGTATTGCTTTTTGTATTACTGTTTATTTGAAACACTTTACAAAATAAGAATCAGAATTTGCAGAGTAGTTATTTACATACAGGGAGTTATCGTTGGTGTATTGCATAGATCACACACAAAGAGTGATTACAATGAACAGAAATAGCATAAATAGAAAAAATATTGAAATAATATTTTAAAAAGCATAATACAAATATAATCATAAAATGTGCAAAAGAAACTAAAATATATATACAATGTAGAATACGCATGATAAAAACACAATATGACAAATGACTGTGATTAAATAATTTCAATGTGTCTGAATAAAAGTGGAAGAGCTGTGCTGTTTTAGAATTGTGCTTAACTATCTTTCTTTAAATGTACTTTAATTGTTTGTGGATATTGTATCACTCTTGGTTGTTTTAGAGCACATGTGTCAAACTCAAGGCCCGGGGGCCAAATCAGGCCCTTGGTGGATTTAATTTCGGCCCGCAGGATAATTTCTAATTCCTATTAGATCTGGCCCTCCGGTATATTGCACGCACACCTTCACTCCATCCTGAGGGTCTCCTCAGCTCAGAGCCTGAGCCCAAACATTGATGACCTTGCACCCAAGATGAGATGCCAAGTATCTGAACTAGCATCACAGAGCAGCACACTGAGTTTAATGGATGTTTCCTTCTGCACTTTCTCTCTCACGACAACAGGGCATGTTTGGTTTTCTCTTTGAGGGAAATAGTTTTGTTGAAGCTGTTGTTGGCCTGTGGGAAAATGTAATCAGCTGCAGATAGAGCCATAAGAAATGAATGCAACTGATTATTTAATGTTTAATGTTTTTATAGGCAATCATTTAAGCTTTGTTAGTTCCAGGTTTAATATGTGCAATAAGTTCATTTCAATAAGTTCTGCAATAAACATTGATCCAGTCCGGCACTCGACTAGTACCCATTTTAAAATGTTGGCCCACTGTGTATTTGAGTTTGACACCCCTGCCTTAGAGCTTACTCAATTACTATAGTATATACTAGTATATTTTATTGTACTCTAAACTTTGAGTCCACTACAGAAACATATATTGTACTTTTTACTCACAGATACAAACTATAAACAAGCACAATATGTAAAATGTATATTTTATAAATAACACAATTAGGGGAAAGCAAATTAGAAACAACTTAAATCAAGCCAATTAATATAATAATATAACGTCAAGAAAACCATGAAAACAACCAGATAACAAACAAACCATAGCATTGTAAATCACGAACAACAGTTTCCTCATAAAGGCACATTTCAGAAAGAGACATTTCATGAGACATCCATCATCTCACATGCTCAACAAAGCAGCGAAGGAAAAAATAGACCCGAATGATGCTGTCTTCCACAAAACAAAATAGATGGTGATGTGGAGTCCGCCGCGTAAGCCCGGAGGATTGTGGGATCTTGAATTTGGGATTCCCGCCGAATACGATAAAGTCCCGGATTAGCTCACACAATGGCAATCGTCAGCGAGCTATATTTAACACCAGGTGACACACACACACACACACACACACACACACACAGAGTTCCCCCTGCTGTTTTCAAAGCATCAGTTCACAAATATAAAACCACCGTGTGCCGTTAGAGAGCGAGCCGAGGGAGAGAACAAACCTCTCAGGTGAGACATGCTGGGTTCATCTGCAGAAATGTGCTCGGATTTGATTTTAAATACGATTTTTTCCAGATTTTTGTGCCAGATTTAAAATGTTTGCTTTGACATGTGTTGGTGGGGAATCTTGCTAATTCTTTTTAAATGTTGTTGAAACATCTGCACATTTTATTGTCATTGTTTGTGCTTTTCCTTTTGCATTAGCATGAATTCATCTGCAGAAATGTGCTTGTTTTGGATTTTAAATTAAAACAAATTTGACTTGAGGTGTAGTGAATTTGTACGCAGGGAATCTTGCAAAAACCTGGAAAGCTGCATTCTTTTATACATTTGTATTTTTTTTTCCTGCGTTTTTTTATCTAGCGTTCGTCAGGGTTGAGCGAAGCAGGCAGGAACCAAATGCAGGTTTAACAGAAAATACCTTTATTTCAAGGCTACAAGTAACATACAGAGCAGAACTCTCTCCCCCGTGAACACAGTCAACAACAACAACAAGGATCTCACAAAGACTAACAGGAAAAGCAGAACCTAAATGCACACAGGACTCATGAAACAAACAAGACACAGGTGAGGAGGGAGGAGAAAACACAGGGGCACCAGGTGAACACAATCAGGTAATCAGGCAGGAGGGAACACAGAGACAGGAAGCAACAGAAGAGACGGGGTCGAACACTTTTCAAACTAAAACAGGAAACCAAAAAACAGATCTAATAATAATAATAATAACTTTTATTTATATAGCGCTTTTCAATAACCCAAAGTCGCTTACAAATTATTGAAAAGCGCTATATAAATAAAAGTTATTATTATTATTATTAGATCTGTTTTTTGGTTTCCTGTTTTAGTTTGAAAAGNACACAAAGGTTTCTCGTTCTGTCGTTGGTGTCGGACCGACTCTCACTCCGCCAGGCAACTCACACTCTTAATAGGCCTCCTACATTATGTTCTTTTGAAAAAATTTTCGTGACACACTGCCCCGAGATAACAGGCATACTGTTGTGACGGTTCAGCCTAACCCATTCGAGGTTTTTTGAAATTAATCGTCGTCGTCGGTCCGTTGTTGTTTGTTTTTATCCTTCGTCGTGTTGAATTTGTTTTTTCCAGCGTTTTTGTCCGGGCAGGTAGTGAGTAATCTGCATTTGACCGAGGCACAACGGAGAAACGTTGGTAGAGGGGCTTGTGGCGGCGTCGACAGGGAAGTAACGTTGTAAAGAAGGCTACTCGGGAGAGGGGTCCCGGGTCGGCGGGTTGGGGCAGGGAAACTCGGTATCGGGGAGGGTGTCGCCGAATGGCCGGTGGTGCCACTTGTTAACGTGTCCGAGTTTTGGTGTAAAGTTGTCGCTCATGTTTAGTTCGGGTTTGTATTTGTCCATTGGTGGAGAATTCGTGTTTAAGTAAGGGTAGTTAATTGTTAGCATTTTATTTATTCCTTTTAACGTACAAGGAAATCCTTCTCTCGTCCTTTACAAACCACACACACACCGCTCGCGCTCCCGCCTCCAGGTCAGTGAGACACTGGGCGCAGTGTCCGTGACACAATACAATAAAATAAAATTAACAGACATGCCATAGAAAATAATGTAGGTCCCTAGTACAACCTTTGTCTCTCAAGTGTGAAACAATACAGGAACTTAACGAAACAAAACAAGAGATATGAGCGTACAGTCGCCTGGTTTCGTCGATTCCGTTGTGTCTTCACAATTCTTTGACCCAAAGTTTAATTGTTTAAGATGGACACGACAACGGCACCACTTGGTTCCCGACTCCACAAATTACGAGTCTCCTTACCCGACTCTGGTGTGGACACGGGAAGTCTCTCAGGGGCCGAGCGCGGACGAAGCGGGCAGGTAGCTCCGACGCTACCGCGGGCCTGGGGGCTCAAGACCGTGTGGCAGGATTTTACGATCCGATGTAAAGAAGTTCAAATTACCCGTAAGAAGTATAGTTATAGTTTCCCCACGCCTCCCTGGAAACCCTAAATACGGAGACGTCGTACGGGTGTTTTTTCGATGTGGCTTGTTCCTTTCCCTTTTTTGTTTTTTTTTCCTACTCTGTCACCTCGAAAAATTAGCGTAAACAAAAATATTCGTCCGGGTTTTCCCCCGAGGATTGGAAGGAAATATACCCTCGAACACCATTTAAAATCCTGTAAGAACTTTGTCGAATTACAATTTTTTTGATGTAAAAAGGATGACAAAATGCTTATATTGTACATGAGAGACAGGATCCTTTGTGGGAGAAGCATCAGGGACAGGAGAAACACCGGCGGGACGACTTTTTGGGTTTATGACCCTATATCGGTTTGAGATTTAACGAACAGCTTACCGTAAATCTCGTTTTTGTTTCCTTACTGGACCCAATTGATAAAGGTGTCGGACACCAACCATCCATGGGTTTTTATACACGTGTTCGTGACTTGCCTTCACAAAAAAGTATATATTGGGAGAAAAATTTATTGATAAAAGACTAAGAGAAGAGCCGACAGTTACTGTCAGAGTCGCACTTCGAGCCTGTTTTTAGTCTTTAGATGTTCGTTAAAGGCATGGTTCATATAAAGGACTAGTGGAAACGCGCCCTTCCTTCTCGTCGCGTGCGGCCC